AACAACAACAACAACAACAACAGTGAGGATGTGCTTACAGAAATCTTTGTAAACCAGACATTTTTTTTTTATTAGCATTATTAATAATTTTGATTATTGCTGACCTGGTAAGGCACTGGACAGTAAGGTTGGTTTGAACCACAAAGTCAGCAGTTCAGATTTACCAGCCACTCCTTGGAAACCCTATACAGGGTTCCTATGAATCAGAACTGACAACAACAACAACACATAGCTAAGTTTCTTAAGGGCATGAAAGTACAGTCCTTTTTTTGAGTCAAGTAGTAGAATCTGTATACTGTCCTGTATTCTTTCATACCACCTCTTCTTTCCTCTTTAGTTCCCCACTCCCACCCCTCCCACAAACCCTGCATTAGGTTTGCATGCTCTACCCAGTCCTGTTTGGTAGTTTTTGATCCTGTCTTCTGACAGGATCCCAGGTACTTTCTCCATTGTCTTGGTAATTTGGCATATCCATTGCTCTTTGGAGTCTTGGTATGGAGCTGTAGGATAAACATTGAACTGCTAACCACAAGGTTAATGGTTCAAACCCACTAGCTGCTCCTTGGAAACCCTCTGTGGGGTTACTATGAGTTGGAACTGATTCCATGGCACTTAACAACAACAACATTGCTCTTTGCTGTTGTTGTTATGTACCATCGAGTCAGTTCTGACTCATAACTACCCTCTGCATAACAAAATATATAAATAAGCCTGGTCCTGCACCAACTGCACACTTGTTACGCCTGAGCCCATTGTTTCTACACCTGGGTCAGTTCATCTCCTTGGGTTATTTCTCCTTTTTGTTGACCCTCCAGTTTACTAAGCATGATGTTTGTCTCCAGGGATGGAATCCTTCTGATGACATGTCTAAAGTATGAGAAATAAAGTCTGGCCACCCTGACTTCTAAGGAGCACTCTAGGTGTACTTTGTCTAAGGCAGATTTGATTGTTCTCTGGCAGTCCACAGTACTTACAATATTCTTCGCTAACACCGTAACTCAAATGCTCTTTGGTGACCTGTTCCTGACCTGTCATGGTCTGCTCTTCTGACTGTGCATGCCACATGCAGATGCTTGGGTTTTCCCCAGCCTCATCTCCTGGATAATTTTGCTTGTCCTGTTCCTCTCTGTTTCCCCTGAAATTATATTTGCTATGAGACTGAGCCAAGCACTTTTTTCATCCTTACATCTGGGGTCAAAGCCATAGTTGACATGAGTTCTTTGAGATGGAAACTTTTGTCAGCATCTACAGCAGGGACGGGGAACCTTTTTTCTTCCAAAATTTATAACATCATTCATGGGCCATGCAAAATTATCAACTTAAAAATAAGCCTGTTACATTTGGTCAAACATATCTCACCCCTGATGTGATGGTTGGAACTGCAGTTGCCTTGGCGGGACCAGACCAAACGACTTTACAGGCCTTAAATGGCCCAGGGACCAGATGTTCCCCATCCCTGGTCCACAGGACGATCAACAAGTCTACCCAGTAGTGTTCTGCAATGGAAAGCTTGTGGGATATGTTACTTTTTAAATCTCCAGTCTGCTAAGGACTAAAGCAATATGCAGGAAGCCTAAGTGTGTTTTCTTGTCTTTGTGTTCGCATTTTGTTGTTGTTGTTGTTAAGTGCCGTCGAGTCGGTTCCGACCCATAGCGACCCTGTACAGGGTTTCCAAGGGTGTAAATCTTTACAGGAGTAGAAAGCCTCATCTTTCTCCCGCGGAGCGGCTGGTAGTTTTGAACCGCTGACCTTAAGGTTCGCAGCCCAATTCGTAACCACTACGCTTTCATAATTTCTCTTTTGTGTTTTCTGTCAGTTCTTATTTGTCATGCCCTGACCACGACCAGTATCTCATCTCTAACTCATAATGAAGTGTGATAGGCCAGGCAGATTTGAGTCTACTTACTTGGGTGAACTCAAACAAGTTAGTTTCCCCCAAATTCTCAGTGACAATAATAGAATCTGAATACTAGGGTCTATGTTGAGGATGGGACAATATGTGAAGGTACTTACTAGACTGTCTGACTAGAAAGTGTTTGTTTCTTACTTCACTGGATCCCAGTTTTCTCCTCCATAAAGTCAGACCCATTCAGCTTGAGAAGTCTTTGATTCTAGAAAGTAGAACTTACAGGGTTAGGAAGGCTTTCTTGTAGGTTCCAAATTGCCTTAGGTTATGGCACTGTGCATTTCCACTTGCTTAGACACTAAGAAAAGCCAATGTAATTTCCAATCGGGACAACTAATTATGCAAAAGGTGGCCATTCCCCGGAGAAGAGAAGTAAATAAGTATAACTTGGTCTTACTTAAGGAAGGTACCTTAGAAACTAGCTGAGTGAGAGAACTGCTTGGCCAGACAGGTCTTTATAGGACTGGTAAGGACATTGGGTTGGGGGAACATAGTTCTACTTGGGAACCGAAGGAAACTCTATAAAGGGAGCAGCAAGTGGCAGAAATGCATCTAAGGTTTTGTCCTCCTAACAAAATCAGAGAAGCTTTTATGGCAAATGTAAGGTGTTTATACTGTGCTTAGGTGTAGATGTTCAGACTCTGGAGTTAGACACTTGAATTGTTGGCATCCCATCTTTGTCTCCTATTGGCTAGCCTTACCTACCCTGTTTCCTCATCAGTAAATTGAGATTAATAGGGACCAGCGTTACAGGGTTGATGGGAGGGTCAAATGAGAAAATGCACAAAAAGTATTTAGCACCTTGTTTGGCACACAGTAAGTATTCATTAACTGCTATCATCACTATCGTCATGGTCACCATTGTCGTCATCATAACCAAGCATTGCACAGAGCTGAAAGGGTGGAGGACTTCCAGAGAATGAGGAGAGTCCATTTTGATGTCAAAGCCAAAGAGGAAGTTTCAGGATGATATAACCCCATGCAGAGAACATGTCCTTTAAACAACTGCCCTAGATGAGGTAACCAAATCCACAAAGTCAAGAATTTACTAGAGACGGTAGGAGACAGTAAGCTATCTACTAGCTTCTTATCCCAGTCACTAAGTTAATGTTAAGATTTGCATTTTTTTTTTTGATTGATTAACTCATGGATACAGTTGTTGCCCCTAGTACTTAGAAGGTAAGTAAATGAGGTGCCCAGATACTTACTCAATAAAGTTGAATTTTCACAAAATTCTTTATCTTAACTGGCTGGGACAACAATAGGAAACTAAAGATTATATTAATTATAATTATTTCTCTCCTCCTTTAGCAATGTTCACAGTACTTTATAATTAAAATGTTAATTAACAATTAAAATGACAAGGTGGACAGCATTATTATTGCATCTATTTGAGAGATAAGGCCAATAAGACACGGGAAAAGGAATCTCTCTCTGTTCACATAGTCAGTGAAAATGTGAATTCAGTTGTTTAAGTGGATTCTGCTTCTCTCACACTGCCTTTGAAATCCAGACCCATCCTTCTTAAGTGATTTAATATTGTCTTCCATAAACAATCTTTTGGGACTGTTTTTGAACCATGCTTCTGTACAGAACAAAAGACAGAGTGACAGGGAAGAGAAGGTGAGGTAGTGCCAGCTACTTGGTAAGAAGAGGAACTGTTGGACAATCTGGAGACTCCCTAGGGTTTGGACGAGTCAAAGAGTAATATGATCCCAGAGGGGTTGGAAAGACACATATTTGGAGACGACAGATCTGTTCTTGGCAAAGACAATCAAGCTTTATTCTCACAGGCTATATGGTTGGTTCTGGAAGCATCTCAAATTAGCATATTTACACCTCTGTGGTGCTGTAGGTTTAAGCACTGGACCACAAGATTGGTTTGAATTGCAAGGTCGGCATTTCAAACTCACCAGCCATTCCTTGGAAACCCTACACAGGGTGGCTATGAGTCTGAACTGACTCGATGACACTGAACAACAGCAATAACAACACAAGCAACAACAGGAGTGTTTAAAGAGACCTGGTGCAGCACTGCAGGTTAATGTGTTGGACTGCAAGGTCAGTTTGAACTGCAAGGTCAGTGGTTCAAGTTTATCAGCTGCTCCTCGAAAACCCTATACCGGGTTGCTATGTGTTGGAACCGACAGAATGGCACTTAACAACAACAACAAGGAATGTTTACAGATCTCAGAAAGAGGAGTAAGTTCAGAAAAAAACAGAGAGAACTTTTCAGAGACTTTGAGCTAAGGTTACCATAAATACAAAGATACCTCTGGCCACTTTGTCCTGGTTTCCTTTCTTTGTGAGTATGAGGTGTGATGCTTCAATACTGCCACCTGAACTCTGGTAGACTACTCCTAACATATTTTTCCTTTCAGGTATTTCTTTTTCTTCTTATCCTTTAGCTGATTAAAGTTTCTTTAGGGAAGAAAAAGGCTTTCAAACTTTTTCTGTAAAGGACAAGATGGTACATAAGTCAGGCTTGGGTGCCAGATGATCTCTGGTATAACTATTCAACTCTGCAATGTAGTCAAAAGCAGCCATGTTGTTGTTAGGTGCTGTTGAGTTGGTTCTGACTCACAACAAGCCTACGTACAACAGAACAAAACATTGCCCAGTCCTGTACCACCCTTACAATTATTGTCATGTTTGAGCCCATTGTTTCTGCCACTGTGTCAATCCATCTTCTTGGGGTCTTTGTATTTTTTCTGGTGCTCTACTTTTTAAGGAGTCCTGCTATGGCACTGTGGGTTAATGTGCCAGATTGCAAAGCTGTTTGAACTGCGAGGGTGGCAGTTCAAGCTCACCAGCCGCCCGACATCAATAGCCTACGCAGGATCCTGGATGAGCTGACCCTGTGCAAGTCTGACCTGGAGGCCCAGGTGGAGTCTCTGAAGGAGGAGCTATTGTGTCTCAAGAGGAACCATGAGGAGGTGAGCTCCGAAGCCCAATTCAGTCTCAGGCTTTAGTGATTTGGAGTGGAACAACCTGGAGTACCAGGCTGATTTTATCTTTCTCAGTTTCTTTTAAAAACATGAAAACATCTGATAAAAAAGATTTCAAAAAAAAATATTTCAGAGGGATGACACCTATCCATAACCCTGGATAAAATGTATCTTTCACTCAAAACAGGTGCATTTTTGAGTTCCCCAGAGCTTTTCCATCACTGGATTGTAAGATGAACTCCAGTGTTGCTTATCAGTGCTGTACAAGGTTATTTCCCTTCTCCAAATGCCACAGCACCAAGCTTGATGAATCTGAGTTTCCATCCTTTCAAGGTCTTGGTGAAAACTTACCTGGGCTCCATCTTTCTCTTGAGATGGGCTAGGGCATGATTTTACATCTTACTTGATGGCAAGAACTGTTTGACACACAATATGAAATTGCACAGCCAATTCTTTGAGTTCTGAGATCATGCATAGTCAGTCGGCATCTGGGAAAGTTGGGTATGAGTTAATCCTTTAATGGTACTTGGGTAAATGCTTGGGAATTCTCTCTGAATTGGAGAGCAGTGGCATGGTCATGGTGAGAAGGGATCTGTGCTCCATGGAATGCAGACATCCTAACCTCAAGATGTCACAACTTAAGTTTTTTTCCCAAGGAAATAGACTGACAGGGTTTGAACAATGACACAATTTCTCATGCTCTGTCCACCCTTTATTGAAGGATATATTTTCTGCATCCACAGGAAGTCAACATCCTGCGTTGCCAGATTGGGGATCGCCTCAATGTGGAGGTGGACGCTGCCCCCACTGTGGACCTGAACCGTGTCCTGAATGACACCAGGTGTCAGTATGAGGCTCTGGTGGAGACCAACCGCAGGGATGTGGAGGAATGGTTTACCACACAGGTGAACATTTAAGCATGTGACCACTCAGGACTTGAGATACCTCCTGGGTCTATAAGGCAGGGTCTGACTCTTGTCTTCTTCCCTTTGAATGTTCCAGACCGAGGAGCTGAACAAGCAGGTGGTTTCCAGCTCAGAGCAGCTACAGACCTGCCAGGCAGAGATCATCGAGCTGAGACGCACTGTCAATGCCCTGGAGATCGAGCTGCAGGCCCAGCACAACCTGGTAGGTTCTCTTGAGGTGCTGACAGAGTTCAGGATCTTGGAGTAATTGTAAGGACTGGAAATCGTGAGGAGGAGGAAGGGTTTTTGAGTTTTTGGCAAGAGTTGAATTAATAGTCTGGAAGAAAGGAACTTTATATGGTGATCTGTTATCTCTTTCCACAACAGAGAGACTCCCTGGAAAACACACTGACAGAGACGGAGGCGCGCTACAGCTCCCAGCTGTCCCAGGTGCAGTGCATGATCACCAACGTCGAAGACCAGCTCGCTGAGATCCGGAGTGACTTGGAGCGGCAGAACCAGGAGTACCAGGTGCTGCTGGATGTCCGGGCGCGGCTAGAGTGTGAGATCAACACATACCGGGGCCTGCTGGAGAGTGAGGACTGCAAGTGAGTACTCAGTTGGGGATGTCTGATGGAGCTGTGTATGCATGCGCGTGCTGCTTAGGTGAGCTCCATGTAAAGATTCCATTCCAAACCTTGCACTGGAAATCATGACTTTGTGTGAGACATGCTCAACCGGAACTCAGAATGCAATATGGCCATCATTACGAACATAAAACTGTTTGATGTTAAGATTTGTTTGACATACAGGCTGAAATTGTACAGTCAGTTCTTTGCATTTTAATATGACATTGAGCTGCAATCTGCTATTGCTAACATTTTGCAATATTGTGCTATGCAGAGAGCTTGTTTCCATACATTACCTTGTTGTTGTTGTTGTTGAGTGCCATCGAGTCGGTTCCGACTCATAGCGACCCTGTATAGTGTTTCC